AAAAAAAAAAAAAAAAAAAAAAGATGGCTTAAAGCTCAGAAGAGACAAGTCAGCCAAAGACAACGAGGCAGTTGGTGGGCTCATCAGCCAAGCGACAACACAAACCAAATAAACAGAAAACCGGCTAGGCCAGGTTGGTTCCAAAGGCAATTCCTCCTACAGCTGGAGCTCCAGGGGATGCCTCTAGGAGAAGGGCCTCCGCTTTGGGGCAGCATCTGGACACCCTGGGTACCCGGTTCCCTCCATGCCCAGGAGGGACCCTCAAGGGGCAAGGGGCTTGGCCCGTGCTGGTCCACTAGGGCAGGCCCAGGTGCTGGGAGGGCAGCAGGGTGGTGGGCAGGGGAGAAAGATGAGCCGTCTAGGAGACCGGTAATTAACACCAGTCGACCAGGAAGGCCAGACAAAGCAGGAGAAGAGAACCCAGAAGGGAGCTCAGGAATTCTGACTCCTCTAAAGGGAAGAAAAGTCTGCTTTGGCAGGGCTGAGACCCAGTAGGGCTTTGGAAAGCCCCAGATCAAGAATGAGGGAACTCAGAGCACTCACATTCACAGGCCTCTGGTCCTGTCCAGGGGCAAGTTCGGCTGGAAAGTTAACACCTCAGAAGACAGAAGACGGTCTGATCCCTTTCTCCCTAGAGTCCCAGATAGTGGTGGTGTTTTGTTTTGTTTTGTTTTTTGTTTGCTTTTAGAAAGGGTCTTGCTACATAGTTCAGGCTGGCCTTGAACTGACATATCCTCCTGCCTCAGCCTCCCCAGAGCTGGGATGACAGGCCTGCACCACTACACCCAGCCAGGATGGGAGTTTTTATCTTATTTGCTTCTTTAAACAATTTTTCCCCCTTCTGAATTCCAAAAAGCTTCTTCACCTGGGGTCTACAGGTAACCTTGTGCCCAAGAACTTTGCACTTGGGAGTCAAAAGTCATCTCCTGATATTCAGCAGCTCTTCTTGGCTCTCTGAAAACCCCATGGAGTACCTCGCATCCTGTGCCTTTCACTTGGGGTCAGAGCTCCGGGGGATGTGGCAGACTGCATGCAGGGGAGGCGTGAAGGACAGAGGAAAGGGCACGTGGGCGTCTGCCGGCTGCAGGCCCCAGTTTCACTGCCCTAGTGTCTGGGCGCAGCAGCCCCGGCCCGGCCCGCTCAGACTCAGCCTTTTAGGTTCCTGCCTTCCTGGGCCATTGGGCGGGCGGAAGGGCAGAGTGAAGCCCAGCTGTCCACCCCCGATTGCCGGCTCCACAGCCGCCAGCAGCCATCCAGACTGCTGTGGCCGCTGAGGGGAGCAGTTCGGGGGCTGCCCTGCTCCTAGGCACCCTGGCATGAGGGGATCTCCCCACCTGAGGTGACTGGTCTGATTTCCTTTCCTTTGTCAGGCAGGAGGTAGGATGACAGCTTCCTTTTCAGAGGCCCTTGATAGCAACAGAGTAACGGCTGTGGCTGCTCCCCGCCAGGGCTCTGCACACCAGAGCAATTTTCTGTCTTGATTCACTCCGCAAGTTTGCAATTGCCTCGTGTGGACTTTCTCTTTCTCTTTTTTCCTTGTTGCTTCCAGTCTGTGACTCCAGCCCACAGCCAATTTTCCTAATGGAGGCCCTGCCTCTCTACTGCTTTCTGTCTTCCTCTCTCCTCACCCCCTGCCTGTGCGTAGTGAGCTGCACAGGCAGACACCTCTCTCTTAGGTGACAAGAACCACAAGGCTGTGAGGCTTTTTGACATTCAACAGCCATTTTCGAAACGCCCCCTGGGCTTCGGACTGAAACCCTGACAGGCCTGCACTGTGAACAGAACAGGGTCCAGGGCAGGAGATTTCCGAGGAGCCCAAGGGAGATGCCCATAGTCAAAAGGTGGTTGAAAAGCCGAGAAACGGCCCTTTAGTAAGGGCTCTTGTCATCTGTTAGACAAGACAGCCCAGCTCAGAAAGCCCAGGCAGCAAGGCAGCCGCGGTGCCCTGACCACAGCTTCTAGCAGTTCTCCAAAATGCGGCAGCAACAGCCCCGACAACCCTCTCTTCTGTGTCCTCCAGCAAATGCACTTACAAAAAGAAAGGAGAGAAAGACAGACAGACGGACCAGACAGACGGATGGATCCAGGAGAAACCCTTCCAAAAGCATTCCCACCACCCCACCCTCTGCATCCAAGGGCTTCCCAAAGCTTCCCCTCCACCTCAAAAGTCCCAGCTCCCTCGCTGGCCAGGTGTGCTGTTCTTGGTTTTCTGGTGACTGCGAGAAAGGAATAAGGAGGAGGAAGTAAAGACCCAAATTTCAATGGGCTCCTTTCCCCCTTGCCAAAAAACTAAAACAGAGGTGTAGGTATTCCCAGTTCTGCCTTAGGGAAACCCCAGCTCCGTCTCCCGCCTGTGCCCAGTCTTACAGAAAGAAATGAGAGCCCAAAGTGCAGACAGAAAGAGCGCACTCGGGTGGAAATCAAACGAGGAAAGGAGGCCAAAGAAACCAGAGGCTTTCGGAAAAGTCACTCTGCCCCCTCCCCCACACAAGCCACTGCACTGGCCTCAGAGACCTCCACCTTCCCCAACCTCACGGCCTATCAGTAAAGAGAACTGCAAAAATATTTGGAAAGATCGCCTTACGACCTGGTCGGTTCCTTCTATGCAGCCCGCCAGCCCACTGCTCTGGATCTGAGCTGTGCCCACTTCTCTCCAGTCCTCTGCTCCCACCCCAGAGTCTGACCAGCACCAAGGCAACTGCGCTCTGAGGTTCTCCTTCCTTTGTGCGCTCTCTCTCCCTCTCTCTCCCTCTCTCTCTCCACCAGCCAGCCTACCTCCCTCTCCCTCCTGCCTACTTTCATGTACTGAACACGCAGGTCTGAGTTTTTCTGTCAGCCTAACCGCATCCGGACTCTATTAAAGTTCCTGGCTCGGGATAAACAATGCAACTGTCGCGTGCAGCAGTCTGAAAATAATTGGATTAGCTAAAACATATCAACTAAATAGAGACAGTCCTGCTCAGGCAGTCGGAGTGAATGTCACCCTGGAAAAAACCCTGAAAACTGATCTCATGGTCACTGGGCTCCCGGAACCCTCCCCTCTGAAGTTTTTCAACCCGGAGCTCTGGGAGCACTGTTTCACGGTTGCTGCCTCACCCTTAAAAGACAACTGACTCTCAGCATCGCTGTTTCTAGGATCCACGCAGACAGAGGGCAGAGGCCATGAATCAACGCTCACCCTGAGACGAACACACCTCAGAGACTACAATCCTCACAAAATCACGCCCCAATCCCCGACTCTTCTGTGACTGAGTGCTTCCATCAGAAACGGAATTCATGATGGGGCTATTTTTTTAATAGGGCAAAACAATCTGTGTGCATGTGTGTTTTGATGCAAGCGACGGCAGCAACAGCGTAAACACACAGCATGCCGCTGGGCAGGGCAGCTGGTACATAGCAAGCAGAGTTCACGGAAGCACACACCTGGAGAACCTTTTTCTACCCTTTCTACATCCCCCGGCTTCTGACCAACAGAGGAATATGCCTTATCCGGCTGCCTGCCCTTGCCGCTCTAAAAGACAGTGCAGGTAAGGAACCAGACCACGACCACACAACTTCTGATATCGCGCAGCCACCGTTCAGTCTCTTTTCCACCAAAGAAAATGGGTGCTGTTTTTGCCTTGTTCCTGCCTCTTCCTCAAAACCTCACTTGCACACACTATTTATATCCATCCCCTAAAGAACTGTACTCTGCTATGGACAGAACGGCCCCCTTTGAGCTCAGCAGAGAGGAACAGTCTCAGACTGACAGGGGCCACAGGGGTCACAGGAGGGACCTGTGTTTGTTTAGGTTTGAGGAGGTTTCGTTTTAGCATTAAACACTAAGATTTATTCCCGAGGCCTTCCATTTGGTCTTGGAAACAGACTAAAAGTCAGCAGCAGTTTCCAGAAGTCCTGTCACAGGCAGGAGGGCTCATTGCTGTGTTTTTGTTTCTCTCTTTCCTTTCCCAGCTTACTGGGGGGTTCAAATCAGATCCCCCTTCCCTTCCACCTCCTAGGACAGCAGTGCGATGGGAGGGCACCCCTCATTCATCCCAGGCTGGGAGAAGGGGAAAAAAGCAATCTCTCATCACCTGCCCCCCAGTTGCCCCAGGAGCCCCTCTGGTGGTCGCCCTTGCCCTGCCCTAATTTAGGAGAAGGAGGGACAGCAAGAGAAACATCCTATGGCCAAGGTGGCTCCTACCTGTGCTGGATCGCGCCTTGGGCCTGGACTTACATCCGAAGCCAGTGGGGGAGCCCCCCAGTAGGCTGCTGGGCGGGAAGAGTCCCGGGCTGTACTCCGGCATGTAGGGCGGGTAGGTGGTGATGGCGTGGTGGGCCGACGACGAGGCGCCCCCCAGGGGGGCCATGCTGCCCCTCGAGTGCGATGCCTCCAGCTTCATGCTGTCCGGCAGCGGCACCTGGTACTTGAGGCACTCTTTCTCGTCCTGCCGGGCCGAGCCAGCCGAGCCAGGAGTGGACAGCGAGGGGTCCGGTGACACGTCCTTCGGCGGGGTGGGCGGGAAGGTGAAGAGGTGTGGGCTGGAGTGGCCGGCCGCCAGAGAGGAGGAGGAGGCCGGTGGGTACACGGAGAGCGGCCCCGGGGAGCTGTGGTGAATGGACGTCTTGGAGAAGGGGCTGAGGTTCCAGGGCGAAGCGGTGTGGTGGCTGCCCAGGGCTTTGCTGCCGTCCAGCCAGGGCAGGGATCCGTGCAGCAGAGGCGGGCGGCACACCTGGCTCCCTGCACCACGGCGGCCAAGGCGGGAAGGGAAGGGACAGGAGAGAGAAACGCAGGTGAGAGCAGCCCTTGACACACCTGAGGACCAGCTGCCGCGCCCAGCACCCAGCAGGGCCTGGGTCTGGCCCGCTCTCTAGGAGTCCCTGTGGTCAGCCACCTGGCCGCACATCCTGGGGTCCTGGCAGATCGTCCAGCCCTCTCACCCTCTCTCCCACGCCCAGGCCCCATCAAACCCAGCAGAACTAAGGGCCCCGTGCCTGACACCAGGGAAGCACTGCAGGAGTGGGGCAAGGCCTCGTGGCCGATCTGGCCTTTCCAGATATGTGTCTAAATCACATTCCCTCAGGTCCCTCTCTAGAACCAGACTTGATTTATTGGTTTCTTTCAATGGCCCAGAGTCTCCCAACCAGGACTTAATCCCATGCAGCCTGATAAGAGTCAGCTGTGAATGATGAGGCCTGAAAGACGGAGCCGGGCCACACCAAGGCTCTGGACCAGGAGAGAACTCCCCACCTTTGGGGGGCCCAGCTCCCAGGCTGGAACACTAGGCTCCAGAGAATCACGGGGAGTATTGAAGGATTAGCACCAAGAAACCAAATTTCAGTGCTTGCTCAGAACTGACAAGGCTGCTTCCAAAAGGCCTGAACTGGGTTTTGTGAGGAAATTTTCATTGCTCAAGCAATTGAGAAAGTTTCCAAGGCTGAAACTTGGGATGAGTTTCCCTGCTCTTCTCACCCTTTCCAACCTGGTAGGAGAAGAAAATATAACTATAAGCCCTCAAAGCAGTGATTCTAAGTGTGCTAAGTGTGAATTTCACCCTGAGCCCCTGAGATACAAAATTCCTGTTTACGTGTATATTTGCAACTGAGGCCAATTCATGCTGAGTATATTTAGCCTTCACTTGAAATGCATAGTTTTAAGGCAGTAATAACCTACATGGCCATAGTCTCTGACAGGGGTCTGTTTAAACTGCACATCCACACACTTACGGATCTTCTAATCCAGTACCTGCCTCACCACTCTCTTCAACCACTAAGAACAATACTGAAACTAAACTCTTGAGAGGAAGGGGAGGGGAGCTGAGGCTGACGGAGAGTTCTTTGAACACCAAGGGTTAAGATTCAGCGTATGCAGGAAGTAGAGTAGTAAAGAATATCAGGTCGGCACCTACCGCCTTGCCACTTAACTGCTGATCTGCACAGGACACTGCCAAAGAGCGCCCCATCCGCAAAAATGACTGTTTAAAACCTGGTGACGGTGGGGCTCTGTCACCCAGAGCACTAAGGCTGGCTTTGAGCAGGGGCACCAGGGCCACCCTGAGTCTGACTGGACAGAGAAACCTCATAGTTTCTCCTTCTGAAGTCTTGCTCCTATTTCTTCTTTAGGAACAAATTTTCAGCGGGAAAGTGTCAGAGCTTTGCTTCCCCTAACTACCCCGAGTTGGGTTTCTTTCTTTACATTTCCAAACTCTCCAAAGTCAAGGTGAAGGGGGGTGGCACAGAATCGCCCCTTCTTAAGGAAACCCCCGATATATTCAAAGTCTTTCCTAGGAAACTAAGGGGACGGTGGTAGGCCAAGGAGAGAACAGGGCCAGAGTTGTAGCAGGCAATGAGACAACTTGAAATCAAAGACACAGGAAAATTCTGTGCAGCCGGGAACCTAGGAAACCCACAATTCCTCAAATTCAAGACGGTACTCTTACACCTAAGCCGAGTCAAGCACCAGAATTCTGTTCCTGGCCAAGTGTAGGTAAGGAAACCTCAAAATCAAATGCACTAGCTGTGGGGAAAACTCAAGGAGAGAAGCGGGAATAAATAACGCCTCTTGGGCCTCTCTGAAAAATGTGCCAGAAGAAACTAACTCGGGGTCACTGGCAGACGCTCCCCTAAGGAAACTGCGAGAAATCAGGGAGCTCCAAACCCGTGGAAAAGCCGAGCCCGATGCAGCCTTCGCCGAAACCTCAAAATCAAATGCACTAGCTGTGGGGAAAACTCAAGGAGAGAAGCGGGAATAAATAACGCCTCTTGGGCCTCTCTGAAAAATGTGCCAGAAGAAACTAACTCGGGGTCACTGGCAGACGCTCCCCTAAGGAAACTGCGAGAAATCAGGGAGCTCCAAACCCGTGGAAAAGCCGAGCCCGATGCAGCCTTCGCCGCGG